GTAATCCAAGCTTTCTACAATTGGCTCGTCTAGTTTATGTCATTGATTTCAAACCCTAATTGGTGGATGAACCAAGTCTCATTAAATAAAAAAAGGAAAAAAAAATAGACCTCAAGTTTTTAGTGTATCGACTATTATACTGTTTTTGGTTTTTAAAATGAATAAAATTTGAACCAAACAACATATTTTTGAAGTTTTAATATTGATAATACTGAAAGGCGGATAACCCATCCTTGAGCCAGGATGTAATTTTTATTAAAACCGGTTGAATTGGATGGTATGGTCCAGGTATCAAAACACTTGTCCACAGTAGTCTCAACTGTCAAAGGCCAGCCTCTTCAATCTTGGGTTACGCTCAATTGTGGCATCTTATGTTCTGGTTTTAATGGATTTAGTTCTCTAAAATTTAGATGAGTTCTTCAGTTCTGTATCCAAATGGCAAAACATATAATAATATTTGTCTGATGTTACTATTCTATTTTGAAATATAACTCATTCAACGGGTGAATGCTAATGTGAAAATTTTATAATGGGGTTTTTCTTTTCGCCTTAGGGCACAAAAACCAATTTAAATATCACTTACTTAAATTAACCTATTTTGACACTTATAACCCCTTGTTTTACAGAAATCATTGTCTAACTCTAGGTGAACATAAAGGACCAAAAGTGTTAAAACTGAAATATGAACACGCATATTATAAAGGGATAATTTCAGAAACCTCCCCTGAGGTTTCATGAAATATCACCTAGCTCTCTTGAACTTTTCAAAATCTCACTTAGTACCCTTGAAGTGATAGTAGGGTCATATGCTAATATCAAAGGTGATGAATTGTCAATAATACCCTCATATTTAAATTTTCTGAACTTGTTTTTCTTTCTCTAAATGTTAATGAAATATAGAATTTAATCAATGAAATATTCAGCGCATTTGGAGAAAAATAGTTGGAGGTTCTTTTTTCCCCCTTTTTTTTTGTGTTTCACAACTTTATTTATTTATTGTTCCTATTCATGTAGAGCGCAAGAGAAATAAAGTAACTAAAACTCCGATTGCAGTTTTTCAAATTCTGAATTTTTTATAATAAAATTTTCATATTTCACTCCCATAAAAAAGTCGGTCTATTTTAAATAAATTTTCTGTATGATATTGAAGTTGAATTTCATCTATTGTTGAGTTTTTTTTGCTCAAATGTATGATTTTTTATATGCTAATTGCCTTCAATACTATGGAGGGTTTTATTTATAGAAATAGTTTAAAAAATATTTGCTTTTACTATCTCTCTCTACTATAGAAATGATTATCGGCTGTAACATAAAATCTTATCAATTTTAATCCCCTCACTTTTAAGATGGTTTCAATTTAGTACTTTTTTTTTCCTTGGTTTGTAAAATGTTCATTTTTCTATAGTCTAAGGGTATTAAAGGCACTAAAATAATCTCTCTCCTCAAACATGAATTTTTAATATTACTTTTGGTTAGAAGCGTGATAATGTTACCAAAATGTCAATTCGAGGGGTGCTAAATGAGATTTTAAAAACCTCAAGGGGACTAAGTGATAATTCATGAAACCTCAGGGGAGGTTTCCGAAATTATCCCTATTATAAAAGTTCATGGTTAAAGGAGAATATAATTTGCAATAGGAACACCTGTAACTCTCTTCCAAGTGAAAACAACATGTGTATTTTTCCCTTCTTGTAAGAATTTAAGCATAATTAACGGAAGCAAAATACCAAAACTTTTCCAAAGTCAAAAGAAAATCTTCATTGCGTGCCAAATGAAAAAGCAAAAAGGATAAATTACCTTTTACTCCCTGTAGTTTCATATTTTACCACATACCCCCATGTGGTTTAAAAACCTATACATAACCCTTTCATGGTTTAGGTTAAAGTGCTACTATTAATTTTTCCATTAAAACTAACAATCAATAGTAAAAAGTTAAAGTCAAACTAATAAACTAACAAATTCACATTTTCACTACTTTTTCTTTTTTCCTTCTCTCTCTCTCTTCTTTTTTTGAGAGAAGAGATAATTTTGAAAACCTATACTTTGGCCTACAAAATCTTAATTTTCTCCAAATACAAAATAAATGGAAGGGAAAAAAATAAAAAATAAAAATAAAAAAGATGGAAGGGAAATATACAATAAATAAATCAGAAACAAAAATATCAAAATTTTTTTACTACAAATAACATTATAGGTTTTTAAACTAAATCTTAATGGTATTTTCTAGTTCTTATTTATCTATTTTTGACTTCAATTTCTTCTTTTTTATGTTTGGAGGGAATACAAGAAGTAGTGAAAGGATAAATTTGTTAATTTATTAGTTTGATTTTCACTTTTTATTATTGACCGTTAGTTTTAACGAAAAAAACTAATGATGATACTTTAACCCAAATCATAAACGGGTTATGTCGATCTTTAAATAATAGGGGGTTATGTGGTAAAGTACCAAACTATAGGGGTAAAAGGTAATTTATCCAAATAAGAAACAAACGTAGCTTGGTCTCTTTTCCCAGCGTGCCACGCCTCTCAGTTCCCCACATGCTAAGAAGACACAGCAACTTCTACTAACTATTTCTGCTTCTTCAAGATGGATGAATCAGTAGAACACTGAATATTACTAGTAGAATGCAGAATTTGATAGAGAAAACATCACATAATTCAAGATCTTTACGTGGCTTTTTTGTCCAGAATTCAGGGGAGCTCTAGCTTTTCTCCTTTTTTTCCCCTTCTTTATAAGTCGCTTATTATGGTACTAGTATCATTCTTGTGGGTTAAAAACTTGATAGAAGATTGATACTAAGATTGAACAGAAGTCATTAGCAGTCGAAAAAATGGAGAGTTCACTAGGTGAAAGAAAGAATTGGCCAAAGAGCCTCTATTGAATGCTTCACCACCGAAGGGTGGTTTCAGAACCATGCCATTTATCAGAGGTGCACCAGAATGTAAAAAGATTTATCTGCCAATCTTTTTGTATACAATAATATCATCAGTTTCTTTATGCAGTTTTTCAATTACCGTTTTCTTGGTTGTTTTTTCCCCCTTTGTGTTTGTTAAGTTATGGGCTAACGCCAAACATGACTCTGTATTTGGTGAAACAGTATCAAATTCAGATGGCCAGTACATCCAATATACTATTTTACTGGACAGCAGCTACCAATTTCATGCCTGTTCTTGGAGCAATTATTGCAGATTCTTATGTGGATCGATTTCCTATGATCAAATTTGGCTCTGTTGTTAGCCTTCTGGTAATTATTTGGTACTTGCATTTAGAAATACTACTTGCTAATTGTGTCCTTCATATATCATTTCCTTTTCTTTTGGTCTAATGCCCTATCATTTTCTCTGGAATGTTACTTTGATCGGTCCTATTCAGTTATTACAAGGATATAAAAAAGACAAAGCTAGCACCATCTGTTTTCTAAGCAAGTCGTCGTCTCCCTGGGATTCTGGGAAGGAGGGGATTTCACTACCAATTTGTTGTCAACATCATGACCTTGCACTGTTTATTTTTTGGAATTCCTGTGCTTTATTTGCACAAACTTCTCTAATTTGGTGGCATTCTCTAGATCGTGATGTTATATATAATCTGGCTGACTCTAGTTGTTCAGATTAGATCTTAGGCATTAATTAACAAGCATCAAATATCCCATCAAACACACACATTCCTCTATGAGTGTAATAGTCTCAACATATTTAAAAAGTAAGTCAAAATATCACCCTTTGTGTACATTTTTGCAATGTTTTGAAAACCGGACCGGATAGGTCCCGGCCAAATCGCCAGTCCGGTTCAATTAAAAATCCAAAGAATCAATTTAACCGATCAAAACCGGTCAAGAATCGATTGAACCGGTGAATACGATAAAAACTGGGAGGTTCAACCGGTTTTTATTAAGTATTTATTTTCTAAAATAAATATTTTATTTTTATTCAAAATTTTTAAAACTAAAATGAATAAAAAATTATTAAACCTTTGAACCGGGATCGAACCTTGAACCGGAAGGTTCTCTGGTTCACTCTCCGGTCCGGGTTTAAAAACATTGCATTTTTGGTGAAATAATAACGGGAATTTTGTTGTTACTATTTAAATGATCAACTAAATATTTAAATATATTTTATGTATCACGAGATTGATTTTTGTTGAGTTTGATCATGTTTGTTTGTAGAAGTGATACTCTACACCATAATTGGAGGTTTTCTTTGTGATAGCTGGATGCATCTAAGACTCAATTAAAATTTAGGAGTAGTGGTTGGTTTCAATTTTAAGTGACACCACGAAATCACAGTTAAGAAGAGACCAATTGAGGTAGAAGAATGTGTTGAGCAAATTTATTTTTTATTTTTTTGAGGAAGAAGAATGTGTTGAGTTGATAAAGAAAGATGATTTTAATTCGGAAGAACATTTAGTATGAATTTGGAACATGAACAAGTTGGAGAAGAAATGACATGAGAAATAGATTATAGAGGGCATTTTCGAAATTCAAGAACTATAAAACAATGGTTGAAGTGCCGGAGGTTTTTATTGGAGTGCAAATATCATTTGTCGTTATTTTTATTATGTATTACTGTACTTAAATATTAAATCTTGTTTTTATTAGAAACTAGCGTTGAAGTTTTGGACTTTATTTTTATGCTTTAAATTTAAAGACTAAATTATATGGTTTGTGATTTAAAACTTTTCAATAGCAAGCATAAGTGGGATATGTGTTTATCAGCTCATATTACAATGGTATTAAAGTGTAAAATGTTCAACAAGTTTTAGCTGGTTGAGTCGAGTAAACCCATCACTATGAGTCGGATCCGGATTAAACTTTTTCCACAGTTGCACGATGAAACCACACGACACGAGCAGGAAACTTCCTACCCATCGCCACATGACAAAAACGGTGGGACATGGAATGTAGTTTTACGGCCATTTTTTCGAAGTGAAAATCACATCGCTCACGGACCTTTTGCGGCCAGTTTTTGTCCAAAGTCTAGCGGAACTTCTCGGTTCTTCTTCTACAATAAGAGCTTAACATGTTTTTGTTTCTGGGCTTATAATTTAGAGCCGTAAAAATACCTCATACGCTCCTGCTTGATCAGAGCTCGAAAGGCACGAAAAATGAAGAGACCATTAGAAGAAAAGAAAGATATGGTCAAAGAGACTCTCCTGAGCACTTCATCACCAAAAGGTGGTTCTGGAACCATGCCATTCATCATAGGTAGTACAGACCTATATTACTACAAAGTTGGTGCCCACTTGTTATGCACTTAGTATTTAAATTTACGAATATGGTTTTTTTCCCCCCGTAGTTGTTCAGTAATTTTCTTCTTTGAGTTTGAACTCTTTGTTTTTGCAGCAAATTCGGTTCTTGAGAAGGTGGCAACTTATGGGGTATCGCCAAACATGACTCTGTATTTGTTGAAGGAATATCATATGGAGATGGCAACTGCATCAAATATCCTCTTTTACTTGTCTGCAGCTAACAATTTCACGCCAGTTCTTGGAGCAATTGTTGCAGATGCTTATGTTGGTCGGTTCCATATGATCGTATTTGGATGCGTTATTAGCTTTCTGGTACATATTCTTCACTTGCATCAACTGACTCAGAAATGCTCCCATTTGCTCATTATTATTGTTGGTGATTGCAGTTAATTTTCAGTCAAATTTCAGAGAAATAAGAAGAAAGAGGGAATAGTTGTCATAAATTTTAAGTTCTAGCCCCCCGGATAGTCTAGCAGTAAAGCGGGCTCTTGGACTGAGTGGGTTCTGAATTTGAATCTTTCCCTGAACTTAAATCTCCTGTCTAACCTAGGTGCGTTATGAGGGGCCACGACATATCCCTAATTTGATGTGTCGGCTCGGGTCCTAATTTGCTCGAGTCGGAGCATGTTCTGGATAAAAAAAAAAAACATTTTAAGTTCTAAATTTTTAAATCCCCCAAGTTCTATTGCTGCTGGTGCTCTACTGTTCTTTGCAGAGTTGGTATATTCCAATATTCTTCAATTGATACAACGGTAGTAATTGATGACCTAAGGGAATTATCAAGAAAGATGGTGACGGATTATCTCTCTGTTTATTTATTTTATGTACAAATGGCCACTATCCTTGCGACTGGTTTGTCAATACCTAGGACACTTTTGATTTTGACGTGGGTGAATATGATTTTTCGTCCATATAAAGTAAGAAAAAGGTCTTAATTAAGTCCTTGGTCTTAAGTTAGTATGAATCTAGTCCTCAAAATTAAGAATGTTGTTGCAATCAAAGTCCTCATATATAACACCATGGTCAATGAAAATATCCTTACCAACACATCAAAGTACATTTATCCATTATGGCAAAAACACCCCCATTTTTTTGGCGCAGCAACTTGAAATTTCAGCTCTTCATGAAAGTTTAAATGAGATGAGAATTTAGATGAGGTCAAATTGGGTGGAGAAAGTAAAAGTTTTCCATTTTTCAAGTCTACATTTTCTAGTATCATTAAAGTTTTCTTATCATTATATGTCCTTCAATGCAATGTAGATTGACCGAAAGGTTTTCTTATCATTTTTCAGCAAAATGTTTTCCTAATTTATAAATTCCCAATGTCCGAGTCACAAGTTTTTTGTCTTGCTGTTAGTGTCCAAGGACAAAAAGATAAGATTAATGGGCATTATTGTCGATTAGTGCAATAATTCAGGTATAAGTTTGGAGAGTGACATTGACAATTCTCTTGTTTTTAACATCAAAATTCCTTACAAAAGTAACACGAGAGTAGGTCATGTATGACATTATATAGAAAAGTTGAGTGAGAGTAATATCTTCTTCTTTATAAATTCATTAAGAAAATAAGTTTCTTTATAAATTCCTTGGGCAAATTAAGTCCCTGACACCAAACAAGAAAAGGAAAAAAAACGTAAGTTCAGGAGGAATCTTCAATTTCCAGGTCCATGTCCAAGTATCTACATTGAGTTAAATTAAATCAAAAGCAGAATTTCTTCAAAATTTTCAGTGCCGGGATGCCTTCTGTAGATGAGTACATTTATGCACTTTTTTTTTTAATGTTTTTTCAATAGGGGAAAGATGAGATTTAAGAAGTTGGGAGGGGGAAGGGGGAATTTGGATTCAGATTTCCAATTCCTAGAACATCAACCTCGAGAACATTTTTGCACTTGCTCGTGAGCATACTTTTTCTGGGAAGATTGTTTTTGCATCCCAATTCTCTCCTCCACCAACGCTCCATAAATAGTTGTTACTTGTTACGATTGGTCTTGGGCAATCTTGGAGTGTTTCCTAACTTGGTGTTTTTAAGAGCCAATAAGTTACAGTAAATCGGCTATTCCCTATTTGGAATGCTTAGTTAACTTCTGACTCTTGCACCAACGTCTTAACACTGTAATCACATCGATTAGCAAAGATTAATGCATTGTTAAATTGTCCTTAATGAACAAATTACTAGACGAAGATTAATTTTGTGAGGGAAAAGAGCCAAATTGATGTTGCAGGATTATCTGATTCCTCTTAGTGCTAGATGATTCTGACATAAAAATTTTACCTTGAAGGGGACTATTGTTTTGTGGTTGACAACTATGATTCCCCAAGCAAGGCCTCCTCCATGTAATGAATCCAGCAACAGTTGCACCTCAGCAACATCTTTCCAACTCTTTATGCTATTCACATCCTTTATACTCCTATCTGTTGGAGCTGGAGGCATCAGGTCTGCTTCCTTGGCCTTTGGTGCAGATCAATTCGAGAAAAGAGATGGAAAGAAAGATGCAGTCTTGTTACAGAGATATTTTAGCTGGTATTATGTGTCGTATTCGTTATCTCTTGTCCTTGCTTTGACCTGTATGGTGTACATTCAAGATCAAATGGGGTGGCAAATTGGTTTTGGAGCTTCAGTGGTGGTTATGTTTTTTGCAGCTCTTCTGTTTTTTCTGGCTTCCCCCTTCTACATCAAGGTAAAGGCTAAAGCAACCTTATTCACTGAACTTGTTCAAGTGATTGTAGCCTCTTATAAAACTAAATCTCCCAAGTTATTATCGAGTAGCAGTACTGAGATGTTGTACCATCACAAGAACGGCTCAACACTGGTTTTTCCTAGTGAAAAGATGAGGTGAGAACTTTTTGTCACTCACTATTTCATTCAACTACATGTTTATAAACATAGTCCTGTGGGCTGTATCTGAAACTAACCTGAATGTTGTTTGTTAGGTTTCTAAACAAAGCTTGCATAATCCACGATCCCGAGCAAGATCTTACCCCTGATGGAAGAGCTAAGAATCCCTGGAATCTTTGCACAGTGGATCAGGTAGAGGATCTGAAAGCACTACTTAAGGTGATCCCAATATTTTTTTTTTTTTTAATCAAACGATAACATTTTATAGATAATGGATAATAACACTTGAAAATACAAGAGTTAATTACAAAAAGGGGTAACTACCCCCATATCTTTCCTAGCAAGAACAGTTAACCATGTTGGAAATGAAGCTTGCCAGTCAATGGTATTAACCACCTTGGTTGCAAATTGAGCCATTGCATGACTGCAACCATTCGCACTTCTGGGAACAAAAGAAAAGATACAGCTGTCAAAGCTAGTCTTTAGGGCCTCAATGTCTTCAAGGATTGTTTGTAGCTTACAATCCTGAACATTGCCCGCATTGATCGAGCTCACAACATTTCTGCAGTCTGACTGGACTTCTATCTTTGTCCATCCTGCAGCTTGAGCCATTTCCAGCGCACTTCGGATTGCTAAAGATTCCTCCGTGGCAGCTTCCCCTTTTTTCCTTCTACTAATCCCTCGGGCTTTCACTAGATCTCCTCGCCAGTTCCGAGCAACAATTCCCAATCCTGTCCTAACCATTTTTGCTGAGATTGCTGCGTCCGTATTAATTCTCACTACTCCCTCCATTGGTGGCTCCCAATTATGCTGACTCAGTCTTTGCTGCTCTGTTGATTCGAAACCGCGGGATTGAGAGCCAGTTGCCTCTTCAAATTCGATCCACTCTTGCTGGGCTTTGTCAATTATCACTTTTGCGTCCTCATTCACCAGCTGGAATACTCTCTTGTTTCTCGCCTTCCAGAGCTGCCAAAGTATATTTACTGTGAGCTTGATGCGATCCATTCCTTGGGCACCCTTAGCCGATTCCATCACAGCATCCCACCACCTCCACATATTGCATTGAAGCTCAGCTATCCCTTCCCAACTCACCGGAGCTAGTCTCCAAGCCATTTGAGCTGTTGGACAAAAAAAGAAAACATGTTCCATGGTCTCCGTAGCCTCACCACAACATTGGCACTGATTGCTTCCTTTCCCAACTCTTTGGTAGAGAGCTTCATTAGTAGCCAGCCCATTTTGCAAACACCTCCATAAAAAATGCTTGAGCTTCATTTTGATATTTAAGCCCCACAATCTTTTCCACACCGTGTGCTTCCTAATTGCCCAACTAGTCTCTGAGTCAGGTGCAATTCTGTGATTCATTATCTCCCTTCCCCCTTTGGCAACAACGTAGCCTGTTCTGACTGTATAAGCACCAGATTTGCTATGCAACCAATACAATCTGTCTTTCCTTTCATATAGACTAAGAGGGATGTTAGTTATGAGATCCACATCATCTATATTAAACCAGCGATGCAGGGTATCAGTCTTCCACCTCCCCTCCTCTATTAGTTCATGGACACACTCAAGTTGACACCTTGCTGGTTTAACCGTAGTCAGTTTCCCATGGCGCGATCCAGCTACCCATCTGTCTTCCCAGATTTTAATAGACCTTCCATCTCCTACCCTCTTGTATAGGCCCTGCTGAAGCAGCTCACCACCCTTGTGTAAACTTTTCCAGCACCAAGATGCTGTGCTCGGGGGCTTTTGAACAAACTAGTCATTCTTCTTCATGTATTTAGCTTTCAGGACCTTGCTTACTAACAAATTCGGATTTGTAACAACCCTCCAAGTTTGTTTTGCAAGCAAGGCAACATTGAAAGCTTCTAAGTCTCTAAAGCCCAAACCCCCTTTCCCTTTAACTTCAGAAAGTTTACTCCACCTCACCCAATGAACTTTGTTCTCTAAACCTCCCCCACCCCACCAGAATCTGGCGATAGTTGCACTAATACCCTTGCACAAGCCTTTAGGGAGCTTAAAACAAGACATAATATAGGTAGGCATTGCCATGATGACAGATTTAATAAGGATCTCCTTACCCCCTTGACTAAGCACTTTATGTTTCCAACCTTGGAGTTTACTAATGATGATACTTTTCAGGACACCAAACACCTGATTCTTAGCTCTCCCAATGGTCATGGGTAATCCTAAATATTTCCCACTAGAGGCTTCCCTCATATTGCCCAAAACCTCCCTAATCTCTCCGCGAAGCCTGTTGGGGGTATTTTTAGTAAAGAACATGGCTGATTTATCAAAATTTACTACCTGTCCCGTGGCCTGTCCATAGGTCTGAATGATCTCCTTTACCTTCTTAGCCTCCTCCTTGCTTGCTTTGCAACACAAAAGAGCATCGTCTGCAAAAAAGAGATGAGAGATCATAGGGCTGTCTTTGCAGACTTTGATGCCCGTTAGTTGCTTAGAATCCACAGCTTTCTTGATTAAATTAGACAGCCCTTCCATGCATATAATGAACAAGTAGGGGGATAGGGGATCCCCTTGACGGAGACCTCTAGATGGTTTGATATGGCCCACCTTTTGTCCATTCAAATTAAAAGAATAAGAAACGGTGGAGATACACGTCATGATCCAGCGAACAAAAATAGGACAAAAACCCATATGTAACATAATTCTGCCTAGGAACTTCCACTCCACTCTATCAAAAGCTTTTGACATATCAAGCTTTAAAGCCATAAAGCCTACTCTACCCCCTCTCTTATTTTTAAGGAAATGCAAGACTTCATGAGCTATGATAGCATTATCAAGAATTTGACGCCCAGGGACAAAAGCAGATTGAGACGGATTAATACAGTGCCCTAGGACTTTTTTCAATCTATTAGCCAAAATCTTGGAAATAGTTTTATAAAGGACAGTGCAAAGGCTTATAGGCCTGTAGTTAGAAATCACAACAGGATTGTCAACTTTAGGGATAAGAGAGATAATGGTCTCATTAATAGCCGATAAGATATTACCAGAATGAAAGAAACTTGTGACAGCATGGACAATATCATTTTTGATAATATGCCAATATGTTTGGAAAAATAAAGGGGGCATACCATCAACTCCAGGAGCTTTATTTGGGAACATGGAAAATATGGCTTGTTTTATCTCCAAATCTGTCACTGGCTTGATCAACTGAATGTTCACGAGATTAGAAATAGTGCTCGGTATACCTTGCAACACTTCTTCAAATTCAGATGGATTACTTGAGTTGAACAGCTCCGCATAGTGCTCGCTTATCTCAGCTTCAATTTCCTCTGCACTTGTACACCACTCCCCATTAGCCTTCTGGAGTATACTAATATTTTTCCGTTTTCTAGCAGCCACGACACTTAGGTGAAAGTAGGCTGTATTCCTGTCCCCCTCCTTGAGCCATCTGCTCCTTGATTTCTGACTCCAGAACAACTCTTCATCCTTATAAGCTTTGCTGAGTTGTAGCTTTAAGGTTGTGATAGCTCCTTTGTTGCATGGCTCTTTCCCCTCACGGACTGACCTTAGTTTCTCCTTCAGCTCCTGGATTTTTGCCTTTGTGTTACCTTTAAGAGACTTGTTCCATTCAATCAGAGCAATTCTACATTCCTTAATTCTTTTCACCACTCTGAACATTCTAGAGCCATTTTGTTCCAGACCCCAAGCTCTTTTAATAACAGCTATTGATGCCTCATCTCTTGCCCATCTTTGGTCAAAGAAAAACCTTCTTTTGGCCCTCCTTTGCTTCAAATCTGTGTCCATCAGTAGCAGGCAGTGATCGGAAGCCTCTATTTCAATGTGTTCCACAACAGCATTCTCATATTTTTGCACCCACCCAACACTTCCTAGACATCGATCTAGTCTCTCTCTTATTTCTCCCTCCCCTTCCCAAGTGTTACTCCATGTCCAAGGCACCCCCTTACAGCCTATATCTACTAGCTCATTCGCAGAAATAAAACTATTGAACTCCCTAAAACTACCCTCTGGTCTCTCTCTTCCCCCCCACTTCTCCCCGTTTGAGCAAATGTCGTTGAAGTCTCCCACAACTACCCATTTCTCACCCCATTCCCTCTTTTTTTCCCCTATTATCTCCCATTGCTGCACTCTCACCCTCTCATCAGTACTAGCGTATAAACCAACCAGCCACCAATAATCACTCGTATCCTTGTCTTCCACTCTTGCTGCAATATACCAATCAGAGCTGTGTATATCCAATAATTGTACCCCCTCATTCCAAAACAAAGCTAGTCCCCCTGCTCTACCCTTAGGATTCACTACAAAACTATGCTCAAACTTAATTCTATTTTGCACCTGCTTCATATACCTTTCTTTGTTTTTTGTCTCACATAAGAACACCACACTAGGAGAGTGGAGGTGAATTACCTCCTTCAGCTGGGGAATTGTCAAGGGGCCTCCTGCACCTCGGCAATTCCACACCGCAACTTTCATTGTGAAGGCGGAGGCATTGCGGGGCTAGCCTCCAATTCCCCTCCTTGTTTCTCGACTTCCTGATCCCTTCTTAATATCTTGTGTTGTGGACTATGTGTTACGTCCTCTTCCATAAAGTCCAGATCCTGCCATTCGTCCGTTGTTTTCCTTTTCTCACCAAGACTACTCACAGTCCCTCTATCCGTAATGTCTTTCAGCGGCACCCTTTTAATACGAGAACTCCTCCTCCACTGCTTTTTCCTTCCCTGATTACCTCTGTTTTCCTGAATCCAGCCGTTGGCTTCCTTTGTTTCAGACTCACTTTTAATTAATATCCCCTTCTCGTAATTTTTATTATCATCTCGGTCAATGCTTGCATCTAAAATCATCTCTTCTGAGAGCTGATTTTCTTTCCCATTCCAGTCATTTTCCAGGTCCACTACCTCTTTAGACCTCTCGTTGATATTCCTCCCTTTGAAGATGTCCCCCTCCTTTCGTGTACACTCCTTCTTGTCCTCTTTCCCTCGGCTTCCTTTCATCTCCACACTCTCCCTCAGAATCTCATCCCATTTTTCCTTCATAACTAACTTTTGTTGGTCACTCTTCTTGTGTACCTTGCCACTTTCCCTGCTGCTTGTACCAGTTTCGACCCCAGAACCCATCTCAGTTATCATCCCGCCTTTATTACTTGGACCCTTGCTTACCAAAGTTACCTCTCTGGACTTCTTATTCACCTCTGTACCGGTCATTAAGCACACTTTCAGAGGGGAAGCCATAATATTCCCTGCCCTCATCCACGCTCCGTATTGTCCTTCCCTGCACGTCTGGCCCTCCCTTTTGTCCCCAATACAAGACTTATCCCCATGCCCAATGATCCCACAATTGTAACAAAAATCTGGGCATCTCTCATACCTAAATTCTACCCATGTATTCACTCCCTCAAGCTTAACCAAAGTTCCTCTAGGAAGAGGTTGTAGGAGATCTACTTCCACCATAATCTTCATATGTCTCCCGGATTTCCCCCCCCTGGTGGAACTAGAACCTCCCTAACAGATTTAAAAACCTTTCCTACCTTAAAACCCACTGACTTACACAACCAGTGAACTGGGAGATTCCAGACTTGAACCCATAGGTGAGCAAATTGGAAATTGTGGTCCTTCTTATCGCACCCAGCCTTCCATTCTTTCATTACAAGAATCTGGTTATCCATAATCCATGGTCCTCCCATCAGAATCTTTTCACGGTCCTCTCCCTTCTCCAAACGAAACTGGAAAATGTTTGGACCCAGTTCAGTCACAGTCAGATTCCTGGGATATCCCCAGGCATGATTAGTAAAGTTCTTTATGCCCGTGAAATTTGCGACCTTTTCACCAATCAGTCTTCCAACCAAACTCTGCCTACAGTCTTGAACCCCCTCGCAAATGTCCTCAGGGCAGAGATCTACCCCTTCCAGTTCCGTTGCCGATAGTTCAAACTTACTAAAAGCTCTTGTTAGCTCCTCCTCCATCCTTTAGTCCTGCAGTTGCAGGGCTCTACCTTGCACTATTCCTTATCGCAGAAACACCAGAAGACGTAGCCTGCAAAAACAGAAGAAAGGAAACACACAAGACAGAAAACTTCTAATCTAAAACCCCAACCTAGACCGACCTACAGACACGCACACTCACTCACACCAAACCAAAACTTAAACCTTTTTCTATGGGTTGCATCCTTTAGATGTTCTCAAGATCATGACCTTTTCTCACGAAAAAAACAGGGCTGCAGCTCAGAAAGTTGCATTTGGGTGTAGAATATGGAAGCTCGGATGAACGGAAAATAACCAGACTCTGTTTGTGGATGTGTGATTCTTCTTACGCTTACTATTTTTGGGTTAGCGCTCCTTTCGCAGTTTGAAATTTTGAAAATTTGAAAGCCTCCTACTCAGAGAAGAAGAAAGGAAGGAAAAAAAGCTCTCAAAGTAGAGAGAGAGGCTCTCAAAGAAGAGAGATGTACGTACCAATAGAATTAAGGTGATCCCAATATGGTTGTCAGGAATAGTGACATTTATCAATATTAACCAGACCTCTTTTTCGGTACTTCAAGCAAGTTCCATGGATCGCAAGATCATGGGGAATTTCGAAATTCCAGCAGGTTCTTTTGGTATATTTAATATCATTTCTATGATACTCTGGGTTGCTTTTTATGATCAAGTGCTTCTGCCGATAGCAGCAAGAATCAACAGGAAACCTGTTTACCTCACTGCAAGACAAAGAATGGGAATTGGAACGTTTATCTCTTTTCTCTCCGTGGTTGTAACAGCAACCGTGGAATGTATTCGTCTTAGTCTTGCATTTAAGGAAGGAATTTCAGATGATCCAGAGGCAATAGTGCACATGTCAGCTCTATGGCTTTTGCCCCAATATTGCCTGATAGGATTGACTCTGGGTTTGAGTGCTATCGCGCAGAATGAGTTTTTCATTTCAGAACTCCCCAGAAGCATGTCAAGTATGGCTTCTACTCTCTGTGGAGTTGGAATTTCTCTAGGATGTTTGGTAGCAAGTTTTATAATGAGTACTATTGATGATTTTACAAAAAGAGGTGGCGGGGAGAGCTGGATTTCTACCAACATTAACAAGGGTCATTACGATTATTATTTTTGGGTTCTTTCTGGTTTAAGTTTGGCAAACTTCTTTTTTTTCCTGATCTGCTGTTGGACCTATGGACCTTGTAGAGGGGAGGAAGGCAATGTTAATGATGAAGAAGTTTCCTTGCGTTAGAAAATAAAATTTAATGAAGAAGCTTCCGACTGGAGTGTCAAGACACCTTCACGATCGAAACTGGTTTCTTATGGAAGTCGTACATATGAAACAAAATTTGATCTGTCATCTTTACTGGCTTTTCTCCACTCCTTGAAGTGCTGTACCTGTATCAAAGCTCTTTTCTGCATAACATGCTTCTCATCTAGGGCTGTCACATCTCCAAGTTAACACTACGTGCGATCGAATTTCTCGACACCAGTCTTTGTTGGTCCTCATTGTTGCAAAGCCTCCAGCGGTTTGTAACGGAGATTTTAACAAAGTTAGCAAGAGCTCTCCAAACCCTGAGGAGATTCTGTAACAAAGCAAAGAGAAAATAAAAATAGAGATACAATTTTACGTGATTCGATCGAATGGCATATTTTTGCGGGCAAAGATCTAGGAATTTACAGGGCTCTTCTCTTGATGTCTCTACTTGAACCTAATTTGAGTTATTTGAGCAAGTGACCCCGTTAAAGAACTCGAGCATTCAACCTTTAAGAATGAGGTAAATGCACACCCCTTCAAAACTTGCGTGTGATGGTAATTTTAGTTGTGAGTTGAAACTACGGTTAGTTGGTACAATTCAGAGTATGGATTTAGGCTATAAGAGTATGGATTTAGCCTGTCCCTAATTAATAATGCCACGAAAAGAGAAGGTCACCTTATGAGAATTGGCTCAACTGATAAGGTTTGTACACTTTATTTAAGGATTTAATGAAAAATTGAGTTTAAATCTCGTTACAAGATAATTCGGTATTTTAAGTGACTGTAAAAAATCACTGTTGAGAATTTTTTTTTTGCACCCAAGGCCAAATTGATGACAAAATTTGATTGATTGCGATCACGTATGCTCATTTCTGCGCTACATATACTAGAGACAATTTCACATAGCTCCCCTTATATTCAACGTAATTGCAGAAAATTCCCCTCTAATTATTTTAATAACATATAGACCCCCAAATTCTCATTCAATTTGTTTCGGACTTAAAAGAAGTTTTAGAATTAGAAGAGCACAAACATGCCTCTCAGCAGATTTTCCATCTTACATTTACTTAGAAAACTGCTACAGTAACAAAGAAAACCAATCCCCCGCTTCCCCCGTCCCCAACACCAAAAAAAAAAAAAGGAAGAAAAAGTCAAACTTGTTGCTACATATAAAATTCCGTCATTTTCACACCTGTTTCTTGCTTTCTGACCATGGAAGAGACAAGCTAAAAGTCGTCCTTTGAGAAGTATCTTGTTTGATGAAAGTCTTTACTTCAACTAGCACAGTATACTTGACACCATAAAGAAAACTAACACAATAGTCTAGTTCTACTCTTCAAAGAAACTGTTGATGGAAGCAGAGGAGATGGACATCAATCCAGAAGAAGAGAGTTTACTTGGTCATTCTCCACCAAGAAGGACAAAGGGAGGTCTCAAAACCATGCCTTTTATCATAGGTAAGCAAGCCCATGTTATCTTGGAGTTGCATTTATCTTTATTGGACTGAAGTTTTGATCTTTTTCTTTTACCCTTTTTGGGTTTATCTATTTTGCAGTGAATGAAGCATTTGAGAGGTTGGCAAGCCAGGGGCTAATGCCAAACATGATACTCTACTTGACAAGAATCTATCATTTTCAAACTGTCACTGCTTCAAGTATACTCTTTGTCTGGTCTGCTCTGTCCAATGGTTTGGCCCTCTTTGGTGCTTTTCTGTCACATTCTTATTTGGGTCGGTTCCGGATCATTTTTCTTGGATCCTTCTCCAGCCTTCTTGTGAGTCCCTTGTAACTTTTTCTTTGTTTGGTGATCAATTTAGTCAATTATGTTTGTTTGTTTTTAAGTAAATTTGCGTCTTTGAAATAGCCCAAGTTTTGTTATTATGTTAAATTGTTGTGCAATTACTCATCTGTGCATAATTTTGTGCCAACATTTGCAAGTTTTGTGTATAAAAATAAGGGCAAAAAATCTCAGCGGTCACTAAACTATTGGTCAGATCATGTTTTGGCCATCAAACTATATTTCGTCAGTAATTAGCCACTAAACAACTTAATTAGTAAATTCGTGACCATTTAGTCGATAATTGCTCTTAATCTGTGAAATAAAATTAGCAGTACACGTGGCAAAGTGCGGGTTAATTTTATCCAAAAACTATGCGACCCTATCTCATAGATTAACTGCTAATTTGACAAATTAAGAGCAATTATCGACTAAATGGTCACGAATTTACTGATTAAGTTGTTTAGTGACCAATTATTGATCAAAAATAGTTTGATGGCCAAAACATGATCTGACCAATAGTTTAGTGGCCGCTGAGTTTTTTTACCCTAAAAATAAACAATGAAGCGATTCTGTTGCTGTTTCTTGATTTTGGGAATTGGGAATTTGATGCCTGAGGAATATAATTAATGGGGTCCAAATCAAAAGTTCTTCCTATCATTGTTGTCAATGTTAAATTTTCTTGGAGTTAACTATTATAGTAAAAGAAGAATCAGGGTCAATTCCACTGCAAATTGAACCTATTCAACTAATTAGCACCAGATGCTACTACTTATTCACCCTTAAATTACAAAAATTTAGGGGCAGTTTTCTTGATGTTGAAGAAGATGAAACAAACCTTGGTATATTAACTGATGGATGGAAAATGTAGAATACCTGCACTGTGATTCTGCTATACGCATAAATCGGCATAATGTCTTATTAAGGTAAATGAAGGCAAAGAAAGGAGTGAAATTCAGATTTGAGTTGCTTGAGAGGTGAATTTTGAGTGGCTACTTTGAGGTATGTCCACTAACTGATAGTAATCTTAAAGAGGGTTTCAAAGTTCATCAGAGTGTAGTCCTGTGTATGGAGTCAGTGTCTTTGGTTCCCCGTTCGGTAGCTTATCTAAGCTTTATTTTGAAGATGATAGATTACTATATTAACACTATAATATATTTTCAATACAGAATTCCGAAGAAAAGTAGAGTCTGTAGAGCTAGCCTGTAAGAAGAAGTTAACCAAAAGATCAAACAAAGTGGTTCAATCCACTCTGATCCAACCTGATTCACTATGGTAATAATACCTGGATGACGGTCAGATATCACACAGAGGCCTCTTCGTTGAGTGACAAATTCCCTTATGCATGCCATAAACCAACCCCAACTATCATTGTTCTCACCCTCCACAATTGAAAAGGCAAGTGGAAATAGTTGATTGTTTGCATCTGCTGAAACTGCAATAAGCATGGTTCCTTTATATTCCCATATAAGAATGTACCATCTATACTTATCACAGGACGACAATGCTTAAAACCTTCTATTGAAGCACCAAAAAAAAGAAATAGAGTGGGCAAGTGGTAAATAGATGGAAAAAAGAAATAGAGTGTGTCTCTATCTCTATCCTGACACATGTGCAACCTATGTGGCAAAAAAAGATCATAAAAGCAATAAATTTTAACATTAGGTTACTTTGGGTATATGTTTTAGAAGGTTATTTTGGCAATGAACTCTTGTTTCAAGTATATCGTTTGGCTCAAAAGATATCATAAGATAATAGAATTCACAATTAATAAAAACACTTTGGGATAGAAATTGAATGTTTGCTTTCTTTCTACGTGGCCGAACGCGATCCTGTAGTCTGTACTACTTGGCTGCAAGAATCAAGGCATTGCAATTGATATAGTCTGTACTACATGTTTGAAGTGCTCGAATAACACCAAAAAAGGAACTAGTCATCTTCTCTTTAGAGCCAATATTGTCTGGCCACAAGAGACGCTGGTACCTGCGGCGGGGGCCGGCGCTCGACTGATTATTGGAAAGATGCAGATTATTGGAGAAACGAGATATGGAGTGTTGGTTTTCAAATCCATTTCAACACCCCAAAAAAGAAAAGAAAAAGAAATCCATTTCAACACATTAAATCCCTTCTGTGAGAAATTTTGTTATCGTCAAGATTAACTATCCTTGGCCAATTTGAACCTGACACAAATCTCCACAATCTAAATTGAATTGTAATTAACGTGTAATAACAAGATCTAAAATCTAAAAAAAATTATTAGGCCTATCGAGTAGTTGGCATAATTTTAAATTCTCAACCAAATTTCTTCACTTATTTGGACTAGAGATTTGGATTTCAAATCCAAATCCATCCAAATACCTCCATCCAAAAGGACCACAAGGTAATTTGCTTACACTTAAGGATTAGGGGCTTCTACAATCACCATTTCTAATTCTATGTTACAAATTATAATATAAACTTCCGCATTATAAGTATAATTGTATGGCACAATGTAACCAATAGCACAATACGTATTCGACGCGACCACAATAAAGATGAACACCAATGCAATAATACACCGAAATACAATAAATTTCACAATCCTTAGAATTGTGTCCTACCATCAATTTCATCCATTCAATTTCAAATCAAACCCATCTTCACGTTAATTGTACCGTACAATCAAAAGTTTGATTGTAAAAGACCCAATCCAGTTTAAAGAGGGCATCTAGGTGGGATTTAGCAATTCAATCTGGACGGTTGGATTGTAAATTGGTATGAAATTGACGGATCACAAAGGTAAGTTGTGCAGCGGCATTAGGTTATGTCACATCATTACATTCCAACACATTGGAGCTCAGCCTTTTCAACCCAAAAATATCAATTACCTGAGGTTTTGACGCAAGTCCAGTCACTTGTCTCTTCTGTCTAATGTTATGGACTACCAGCACCGGCAGCTGCAAAGTCTAGTAGAAGAAGATAAAATATTTGTGTCTGTCACTTAACTGTCGCTTAGTATAGAATTAGTCATATAAAATATTAATAATTGTTTCACAGTTTCAGTGCTCAGTATGGTTGTTGGACGAGAGTCAATATCAAAATACTTTGATACATATTATTGCAGTAGAAGAAGAAGAAGCAGAAGTCCCTACATACATGATGGAGAATTCTGCTGATGCTGAGCGAGAAAGTCTGATTACAAAGCCTTTACTTAATGATGATCATGACGGTTTTTCAGGAAAGGGTGGCTTCAGAACCATGCCATTCATTTTAGGTAACTCCTTTTTCTTTCTTGATTGAAAACAAGAAACAAACGACCCTTATTAAACTGGCTATATCTGATTCTCATTCTACGTGTGTTTAACTGAAGTTTATTGAGGAATTGTTTTAGTGAAATTTTCTATTAAGAATTGACCGTTCTGTGTTTTAATGGTTTTTTTCTGGGGCAGCAAATGAGTCTCTTGCGCAGGTGGCAAGCTATGGGCTACAGCCTAACATGATTCTGTACTTGACAAGAGAGTATCATTTGAACATGGCTACTGGGTCCAACATACTCTTTCTTTGTCAGCAGCAACAAATTTGATGCCCTTCTTGGTGCTATAGTTGCAGATTCATTTCTGGGTCGATTTCGGATGATCTTATTTGGTTGTGTTATTAGTCTTCTGGTAAAATCCCATTTACACACTTCATTGCTTTCAGTAGTTAATATTTATTTTGATTATGTTTAATTTTTCATAGCACAAGAAGCAGTCTGTTCCTATTTCTTGCATTTTCATCCATCATGTCATTGTCTACTTCAGATTGTACTGTGAAAATGAACTAATTTTATAAAGTATCCCTGGCTTTTTTTTTTTTTGATTTACAATCTGGCTGCCAGGAAGGAGCGAAGAACATATAAAAATGCTTTTGTTTAGTTGTGAGTATTTTTAATTTTGGAATCTAGATTATAATCTAGAAGCTAAGCAACTATCCTGCAGATTGCTGAAATTAAGGTATAATTAATAAGGATGGCAATGGGGCGGGTGGCCCGTCGGGGGCTAATGGGGCGGGGGAGTGTACCCCGCCCCCACCCGCTTTAAAAAAAATAAATATATAAAATATATATGTATATAATTATATATATAATAGATAATTTAATTAGTTACAAACTCATGACAATGATATTATTAGTTAATGTATTATATGTATATTAGTATATGTAATATAATTGATATTATCAATTATACTAATAATTATATATGTGTACTAATACAAATTATTAATTGGTTATACTAAATTTACTAATACATTTATACTAAATTCCTAATTACACTTAATACAATAACATTTTTTTCAAAAAAAAGCACAAGCATAATAATGAATTAGTGATTGTATTTGTGCCAAAAGTGAAAACTTGATTACTTTAGTTGTATTTATTTCATCATATTGGATTGTATTCAAATAACTTTTGTTTGATTATTTTTATAAGTTTCAATTGTGAAATTACAATGAATAATAATTTGTTGATATGTTGATATTTTAGTACTTGATTATTTGATAAAATTTAACTATAATAAAATTATATAACAAATTTTGATTAGCCCCGCGGGAGCACCTGCGGGGAAAACGGGGTGGGGCGGGGAGCGGGGGATGGGGGACGGGGCGGGGGTGGGTGGAATTTGTAGTCAGTCCCCGCCCCAAACCCGCCCGTTGCCATCATTGATAATTAAGCATGTGTCACTAAATTTCAATTCTGCATAGGTTCATAAAGTTAAAGAGGGAGAAAAGGCACAACGGATCTTCTGTCCCACATCCTGTGCCACTCTCTGTGCCACTTTTTATTATATTGCTATTTCTCCTATATAAACATCACATTTTAGTTCTTTTTTGTTTCCTTAAGATCCAATAACTATTAATTGAGTAAAATATAAATACAGTAGCTTCAAAAAAGCAATATATAATAGAAAATTAAAAAATACAGCAGAAAATTCATAAAAAATCTCATTTTTTATGCATTTTGGTTTTTTGAGTTTGTTAAATATTGTGTATTACTCAATTAATAGTTATTGGATCTTAAGGAAACAAAAAAGAACTAAAATGTGATATTTATATAGGAGAAATAGCAATATAATAAAAAGTGGCACAGAGAGTGGCACAGGATGTGGGACAGAAGATCCGTTGCGAAGAAAAGGCTTTCTCATATCCGTTTGGATTGGTCATTTTTTCAAATACAATACTACAGTAATACATAATAACTCAAAAATATCTCATCCATATAATATGTCAAATATTTTAAAAAATTTTATAGTAAAAATTTTTCATATACACTATAATAGTAAAATTTTTAAAAACACCCTAAAACCAGCTAATTCAAACGGAGGGAATATGGCTAAGTTTCATAAGAAAATTGGGGTTAAGAGTTAGAAACATCAATCTCATGTCCATGGCATTTATTTTGAATACTCTCGTGAGAAATTCAATACCAAATACTGGCGAGTCCAACGGATACAGTAGCTTTTTTATACTAAACTTGCCACCCAAAAAAATTAAAAAGTACAAGAATATTCCAATGATCGTGAGAAGGGGGAGTTGGGGTGTACTTTAAAATTACACCATTGTTGCTTAAGAATGGCGCAAATCATTTTCCTGCTGGTGGTTTTGTTGAAAGGGGTGGAAATACTATTCAGGTTACTGTCAGATGCTTCGGAAAAATACATCATTTCTCACGTTGTATCTTTATGCAATGACATAATTCTATCTGTTCGGACCCCGTGCTTAGAAACATAATTGATCATTTGAATTATGAACCAACATGTTCACATAGTGATACAAATTGCAGAGAAGGCATGTTTTAGACTTTCTTGTCTAATTCTGCTTCTAGCACTCTCATTTTACATTAGCTCTTTCTGAACTTTTTGGTTGGAACTCCATAATCATCCTTTTTTTGTCCGAGAGGATTCCAATCATATATGGCATTATGTCATCCCAAAATGCAGGCCATTAGTTTCTTCACACATACAACAGCTTTATATTTTAGTTTCAGTTGCAAATCTGCTCCATTGATCTTTCATGTGCAGTGAAGAAAACTGAAAAAGAACCTGACTTTTAGAAGATAATTTGTTGCGCATTACACTAGAATAACTTAAAGAATTTTAAATCCTCTGCATCTTTCTTTAAGGCTTCAATTGTTGGTGCATGAAAGTAGTCGTGCTGCTGCCGGAAAAAATTACACTACTGACCAGATTTGGTTCTTCAAATTTACTATATTATTTCTGATTTTAATGGAATCATCTGAACTGCTTTGATTGAAGGGAATGGCTCTTTTATGGCTAACAACTATGATTCCACAAGCAAAGCCGCCTCCATGTTATGAATCGAATAACAATTGTAGCTCAGCGACAAGTTTGCAACTCTTTCTCTTGTGTTGTTGTTTTGGACTCCTGTCTATTGGAGGTGGAGGAATTGGATCTTCATCCTTAGCTTTTGGTGCTGATCAGTTGAGAAGAGCAGGTGGGCAGAACAATGGATGGGCTCTGGAGTGTTATTTCAGCTGGTACTATGCGTTATGCACAATTTCTATTTTAATTGCTTTACCTTGCATTGTCTACGTACAAGAAAACTTGGGATGGCAAGTTGGTTTTGGCATTCCGGTCATGCTCATGTTGTTGTCAACTCTGTCATTCTCCCTGGCTTCGCACTTATATGTCAAGTTGAAGGCTAAATCAAGTTTAATTGTTGAAATGCTTCAAGTGGCTGTAGCCTCTTATAGGAAACGGCATATAGAATTGCCAACAGAGAGCTCAAAAATGCTGTACCATCACCACAGGGGTCCATCAATTTGTCTTCCAAGTGAAAAACTAAGGTGAGTGTATTTTCATCCTCACAGTAGTGTCCCCTTGATCTTGATGTTCTCTTATCCAAAACGATTGGCTCCGCTCTCAGACTGGGCTGTATTTCTTTCTTGATTTATTACATGGTTCGAAGACTCGGCCGAGACCGAGACGACTCGGCCGAGTCGTCACCGTCTCGGCCTAGTCCGAGACGAGACCGCGACGAATCGAGACCGAGATACTCATCTCGCCGAGAAATCGGCCGAGACGTCACCGCGACGGATTGACTTGGCCGAGTCACACCGAGTCACTCCGAGTTATCCCGAGTCAAGACGAGAAATCGGCCGAGTTACACCGCGACGGATTGATTCGGCCATTTCTTTGGCTATTTTTTATTATTTTTGTTTAGCATACTTTTTTTATATTATTAACAATTTTTAGAATATTAAATTTTTTAAAATTTGCGTCTCACCGAAACCGTGACCGATATGCCGAGACCGATGTGGAACGTTCCAAGCTGCGACCGCGACCGCGACCGCGACTTTGAACCATGTTTATATATCTGAATAATTTCAAGTTCTTAGCAACTTATTTTGATTATACAAGGTTGCCTGTATTTGGTAGCTATAATTGGTTTGCAATTAATCCTATTTTATTTTTCATGTGGTGGCGAATTCAACAATTTGTAAAAGCATTTTTTGAGTCTGAGTGTTTTTCTTTAAAGTCATTTGGAGTTTGAACATTCAAGAGAGAAGTTCCTATTAGGTCATTTAAACAATGTTTCTCTTATGGAAGCTTCAATAATTTGTCTTCCAGGTTCTTAAATAAAGCTTGCATCATCATAGATCCTGAGAAAGACTTGACAACAGATGGAAGAGTAGCAGATCCCTGGAGTCTTTGCACAGTAAATCAAGTTGAGGACCTGAAGTCGATTCTCAAAGTGATTCCTTATGGTCCACAGGAATGATAATGTCAATAAATGTCAGCCAGGGCTCATTTTCTGTACTTCAAGCAAAGTCCATGAACCGAAAATTTGGTCCAAACTTTGAGATGCCAGCAGGTTCTTTTGGTATGTTTACCGTTGTCAGTGCAGTACTATGGATAGCTCTTTATCAACAGATATTCTTGCCTGTTGCGTCAAGAATTATGGGAGACCTGTTCATCTCTCGACAAGGAAAAGAATGGGAATTGGAATGGCCCTGTCTTTTGTATGCATGATAGTGACAGCAACAGTGGAGGCTAAGCGACGTAGTCTGGCTATCAGGGAAGGATATTCAGATGATTTAGATGCAGTGGTGGACATGTCAGTACTTTGGCTTCTTCCCAATATTTCCTGATCGGCGCTGCTGAAACTGCAAGCGCAATTGCACAGAATGAGTTCTATTATTCGAGTTTCCAAGAAGCATGTCAAGTATATCTTCCACTTTGTTCTCACTTGGGGTGTCTGCGGCAAATCTTGTTGCAAGTTTTCTTATGAACGCCATTGACAAACTCTCAAAACTGGGAGGAAAAGAAAGCTGGATTGAGACCAACATCAATAAGGGTCACTATGATTATTACTATTGGGTTCTTGCTGGCTTAAGTGTGCTTAACATGATTTATTTCCTCATTTGCAGCAAGGCTTATGGTCCTAGCAAAGAAGATGAGAAAGAGACAACTTTTCGCGAAGACGATAACTAGCACTATAGCTCTTTCATTGCCGTAATGTAACCTAGACAATTTGTATCGTGATCAATATACCTGCAGAAGCCTGAGAGTCAAGAATATCTGTTGATCCAACAATGTTTTCAACAATGTCATTGGAGAGAGCCGGCAATGAAGATCAGACTGATTTACATATCGTTGGCAATGCCGCTGTTGAATAGGATTGTGTCTATAGATGTGATGCTGTTGGTGTATGAATATACAAACTTTACATGTTTAAGATTGTAAATCTGCCATTTTACTGTAAAAGCTGTCATCCAACTTATTATATCTGGATGCACTAATGTCTTGCAGCTGCGAACTGTAGTAGAGAAATAATCTTCCTTGTTAATTTCCTACATCATTGCTAATTGCACTTTTTTCCCCTCCCTTTTCTGTATTGAAATTTTAAGCTTCTTTTAAAAGTTAAATTTGTTACTTCAAATTTCTTGTGATCCTACGTATTTCAAGCATCAAGAATTGGACATCAATTCTCTCTATTGTTTGCTATAACCTTTATCCTGCTATACATGATTTTTTGTTGCAAATTTCTTTCGTCTGTTTGATGCATTTTCAAGTTATTTTTTAGTTGAATTTGTGACATCAATTATGTATAAGCCATCGAATGGCAATTTGGAAATGAAAATACTTTTAAGCATTTCATCTTTTTATTGTATAGGTACGAGGGCTGACATTGTTACATTGACATTCAAAATAAGGAGAGTGGCCGAAGTGAAATTGTCAAAAAACCATTTTGATAAACTTCTCCCTACTGATAATATTCTTCCATTAATTAATAGAAATCCCTTAATCTTTAAAGATGATTCAACATTTTGCATTTTATCTTATTCAATCTATGTGCTTCAAAGGGAAGTATTCTATTGGCTTTGAGGTTGCCTGAAGTCATAGCCTCAAATTGCTAGCCTGACGTGATCGTTTCCTTTGGGTTGGATTTTCTTTTATAGCACGACGCCATAGATTGTTCATATAGGTGCAATTCGAATTCAGTTAAACCGTATTGATTGTTCAACACAATTTTTAATAAATGAAAAAAGTTTATTATATTTATGTACTTTATTATTTTTGATGTAAATTACTTATAACCATCAAGTGATTTCACATAATATCACATGATCCTCCTAAAGTTTCAAAATAGTCGCATAACTCTCTTATGATTTTATGTAAAGTGAAAAATAAACAACATGTATGATCAATTATAGTGTTTATATCAAATGCATTCTAAAAGTACGTGTGATAAAATTTTAATTTTCATGTAACCCTTATAGTTTATGTAAATATTCACTTTACCACCTGTATTTTTGCATTTATCTACGTAATCTTCCTATATTTTTATATAAAGTAGTTAAGTCATCGATTGATTTAATATTTAAGAAAGGACACTATTAATATTTGGGTTAAATGCAAAAACCCCACAAACTATATACCCGGTTGCAGTTTACCCCCTAAACTATAATAATAGGCATTTTGCCCCTTGAATGATATGTTTGGACAATACTACCCTACTATCTTAAATCCTTTCTTTTTTTTTTTCTCTATTAGCTTTTTTCATTTTTTTCCTTTTTTTCCTTTTATTTTCTTTTTGCTCTTCTTGTCTCTTGGAACTAGCCAATATCTCTCTCCGATGTGAAAAGACTTACATCAAAAATTTTAATATTTTTTAAACTATTTTTTTAATTTGTTTATTTGTTAAATTCATTCTTAATAATTTGTCATAAACTCTTTGTTATTACAAAATATATGTAGCTTATATTATAAAGTGTATTAATCTAGTAATTCAACAATTTAAGTACTATAAACTAATTAAAAGTTCACAGTTACTCAACTACTTATAATAAAAGTAACATTATATATCACATAAAAAAGAAAAGTTAGCAATTGTTATTTGTAGTGAAATAAAAGAATAGTAGTTCTTTTTTGTTATTGATACTACTAATGATTGATTAATCAATTTCTCTATTTTTTTGATTTGCTAATTCCTTATATCACCAACACTACAGACTAATATTTTCCATTCAAGAGATTTTACATGGGCATTGAGCCTTTTGCATTCCAATATATTGGCACATTCTCTGTATTCTGAAATTTTCCCTAGAAAAGGAATGATCAGAATTTTCTAAAATGACTTTACACCCATACACTATATGCTTTTGCATTTTGAGGAAAAGCCTTAAATTTGCTCGTTCCATGATGCCTACAATGTGAGATGCTCATTTCTTCGTAATCCAACTTAACTACTAGTACACCAGCCACTTACCCCAAGGTCTCTGGTTCAAATTTCAAATCTTCCTCTGTCTGTCTTATAAGGCTTAGAGTCTCGCCTTGAACAAAGTAATAATAATAAAATGATAAATAAATAAAGGTCTATTTAACGTGCGTGCATTGGACACTGGTTAAGATGAATTTTAGGCGTTAGGCTTTTGCAAAAGGTAAGATTAATTAAGAAAAGTATATAAATACAACGGAAGATAATAATTATTAGTGTGTGTATATATATGATAGGTTAAATAAATTTTAACCTAATAATCAACCCCAAGTTAAACAAGTTGGCCTTGCTTAATGACTATGGGTTCGGCAGCTGTGGACTCCATGACCTCCGGAATGTCTGGCTGAAGAAATGCCCCCCTAACCTTAGATGGACCGATAAAATTTATTTTGAAGGTGCTAATTTTAACATATTTACACTGAATAAAATAGAACATTTTCAATTTTTAGCAAGGACAAAATTTAAATTTATGAAAAATACTTTTAAAACTTTTAAACTTTTGAGAGCGCCTTTATCACCAGTTATTTCTAGGGCTGCAACCGAGTCGAGTCGAGTCTAGTTTTTTGGCATAATCGAGTCGAATCTTGACTTAATTTTATCAAACTCGAACTCGATGAGCTGCCAATTTAAATCACGAGCTCGAGCTCGACTCAAATTCGAATAATTATTATAATTTTAAAAAATAAATAAAATAGTATTTTTTCTTAATAGATAATAAAATATTAGGGACATATATATAATTTCACTATTAAAATAAAAAATTATATATATATATATATATATATATATATATATATATATATCCTTGAGCTAATGAACTTAATATTTTTGAGTTCGAACTCGAGCTCGAATTCGATTTGACCAGTTCGAGCTTGACTCGAGCTCAATTTGAGCTTTGACTCGACCCCTCGCGAACGGCTCGATTCGTTTGCAACCCCAGTTATTCCTTTCTTTTTCTCTCTATCTTTTTTTTTTTTTGTGTGCTATAGTTTTTTGATCTTTCATTTATTCAATTCCTACCATTTTATTAATTGAGCATAAATATCCTGTGCCTTTCAAGGCTCGTACTAATATATTGTAAACACCCATGTGGAGATATTTTATTAGGTGGCTGCTGGAGTCTCGACACATATCTTAGTTCAAGATTTTAGGTTTATCTTTAGAAGATTTTGGACATCTGAATAACTCCAACATTTTTAAATAATTCATCTTAGCTATAAAGGCCTCCTAGTCATGACCCTTAGCTCGTGGATAATTTTCTTTATAATCTGCTATGAAGCTTAGCAAGTATGTAAAGAGCTTCGTACAGGTTTTTGGCAGAGTTGGTCCTCTTCGTTTTCTGGATCTTAAAATATGCTGAAGGCGAAGCAATTGACAAGTAATCTGAAGTTCTTGATGTATCTGTTTCTTGTTTTGCTTGTACTTGACATTCATTGTCATTTTTTCTTTTCCCTTTTCTTTTTCAGTAAACACCATTCACAAGAGTACGATTTTCCTATAGCTTTAGTTTTTTTTTTTAAGACTAAATTCCGAGTTTTACACAGGAGCTTAAGGTCTTTGGAGAAAAGTTGTATAGGTCAAAAGAGACAAAGGACATTTGGGAGGTCTTAAGATTCAAGATCAGTAACTGGATCTTAAGTGCTGAATTTCATAATTGATTTGGAAATTAAAAAATTTCACGTAGAAATGCAGGCAGATTTTATTCATCGAGTACAAATATTTTTTCCTCGTGAAAAGAGGGAAAAGGAAAGGGATGAGATTCAGCTAGCTTTACATGTATCTAATTTACTTTGCTGACATAAATCTATTCAAGAATTTGTCACTCCTGATCATTTTTCAACTTCTGAAAGAGGCCATGGAAAAGACTGTAGAATCTTGATGAATTCCACCACAACTTTGAAAGCATTATTAGCAGCAAGAGAAGTGTAAGCAGCAGCTAGCCTCATCAGATTGAGCAGAGCCACCCCCGGCCAAGTCGGAAAGTGCCCTCTAATAACTATGAAAGGCACCCTTTGCTGAACGCAAACGAGAGCCACTGCAGCACTTTCCATCTCCACAGGGCTCACATTAAACTTGTTTGTATATGAAGCTCCTATAAGCTACATTGTCCAAGTATATGCTGGCATTTAATTGTTCCTCTTTCAATA